CTCATTTTTCCCCCCTATTTAAAATGAACAATTTTTTTTTTATTTTTTTATTTTTTTAGTTTAAACCATTTTCTCTTGAATTTTACCATCATTGTAATCTCAAACAGCATATTACTTGCCAATTCGTCTTTCTTATATCATTTTGTTCAATAATTGATTTGTCCTTATCCTTTTTTATTTTATGTGGCGATCCACCTCACATTCCTGATAATTTTCCATGCCTTCAGATCACTGACTTGCTTGTCAATATTACTAAGCATGATTGCAAACCAAAGCATCAGGTGCTTACTGAACAAGAGAAACAAAGTTTATTAAAGAAGTACTCCCTGAATGAAACACAGGTTAGAATTCAAAGTCACAGAATGTTAGCACGCTCGATCCCACAGGCTCGTATATTTATATTTATGCACATGGGTAACGTGTATTTTCGCAGCATTTTGTTCTGTGCATGGTGTCTACGTGGAATCCTTGTTTTCGTGCACCGTATTGTGCTTCTTACATTTATCCTAGACTCCTAGTTCTATGTTGGTCGTGTGATAGAAGTTGAATCTTCTCAATGCTATGTTGAAATCTGTAACATACTTTGTAACTTTGATGCTGTGAAGTGATTACTGATCTTAACATTCAGCTTTTATCGTGACAAGATAAAGTCACAACATATGACATAACATCGTAACATTTGACATGTCTGTTTTTTCTCTAAGATATTTTTATGCTTTAAATATTAGGTGTCTGCACCCTCCAATGGCAGGCAAGTCATTGTCCAACATGTGCAGGACATGTGTCAGAAATGTCTCGTGTTGTGTCAAAATTTTTTTTTTTTTTTATCTTTGTAATGTTATACATGTCGTCGACACACCAAGAGATATAATATTGACACGTCATAGATGCATTGTTGACATGTTGGAATTAGCAAAAATAAATTTACTTTACAATAAAAAAAATAAATAAATTTAGTCATTGTGTCTGGGATGTGCATGTCAGTACCTTTTTGAAAAATTCCGATTCTGTCAGTGCTTCCTGTATTTAATGAAATGGCTTAAGACCCATTTTCCATCGCTCATGAGTCATGAGAACACATGACTCGTGATGCAAGACTGAGAGGGGGAACATGACTCACAGATTTGGAAATAGTATTGTTACAAATGATTTATCATTGTGTGTCTGCATTATGGTCAGGAGGAGAACGAACTCCTTGTTAGCATCAAGCCCTATATATTTTACCTTGTGTACGTTGAGGTTCCTGGGTTGAGACAGGTGGTTTACTTGTTTTTCGTTCAGGTTTTGTTTTGGGCTTTTTAATCTACAAAGAAAGTATTAGAGAATGGACGTAAACCATGAAAGATGGACTTCCATTGTTGGTTCTCAGATATATACCGGTTCATAAACTATGCTTATGGGGAAAGGGTACGATTGAACTTGGAAGAGGCTAACAATATCTGAATTTTGGAAAACAGATGTCTTCTCCATTTAGCTTTATATGCGCGCGCACACACACACACACACACACGTGTATGTATGTATGTATGTGTAAAGGTTAGACAGCAAACAGTAACTTCCGAACCAGTTACAATCAGCTTGTTTGTTATCTTTGAGGATCATTCGCCCATTTTGGATTGACATGAGTGTGTACATCAATAGTGTACGGAGTTTGCTTATCGAAAGTATGTTAATGAGCTGATTTCTGATTAAATCTCAATAATGACCTTTCTTTAGCTTCCGCGGATGCTGCAAAAAGATGCAATTGCTCGTTACTATGGCCTCGAGAAAGGGCAGGTCGTGAAGGTCATGTACAGTGGTGAACTTACTCAGTTGCATACCAGTTATCGCTGTGTTTGGTGATGCTTTAATGCCTTCTATTGTCAGACGTCATGGCTTTAGATCCCTAAAGACGGCCATATGTAAAATGTGTGGTGTTGTGAAGGCAATGCTTCTTAAATATAAGAAATGCTAATTGACAATTGTGTGTTTCATTAGAATTCTGGTTTTTGTTTTTATGAAACGACTCGATGGGACTTATGTAATGTAGCTAATGGGAGTTGTGCTTTTGTTTTCTTGTACTTGGTTGAATGTTGAGAGAGTTCTGTCGTAACATGATGAATTATTTAGATTTGCCTGAGGAGATCGAAATTTGCTACTAGTGTTTGAACCATTTGATCAACGAGGCAATAGAAGACTTGTGCCAATGAGAAAGTGCTTCGTTGCTGGCCATTGTTTTCCCATTGGCGGAGTTTCTGTTTTGGTGGTTTTGATTACAAAACTGAGCTGCTATGGCGAGATATTCAGTAAAATTTCTCTCTCATTGTCGAATTTTCTTATCTGCCTTATATTTTGAGGAGACTTGAGAAGGGGAAGCGGAGACAAGTTTATAATGATGTCTCAATATTCAGTTTTCTAAAAAAATGAAAAATAAAGATGTTAACCAAAATGCTAACTCTTTTTGTTACTTCGAAATTAGTTACTTCAGCTTCATTCACTTTTGATATTTCTTTTTAGTCCATTCATATTCATAATTGCTTTGATTAAAGCATATTCTCAAGAAATTTCTTTTGAACTTTCTTCCTCTTTGGAAGGCTTCCATTGAGCTGTGACCTCCGCCTTCCACTTAAGCCGCATTATGTTTACAAATAGGTTTATTGCGATACATGTTGTGCTCGATTCGTTATTGAGCTTATTGAGTTCATCGTTAGTATAATTGTACTCACATTGTTTCTTACTTTTTCGTGTTATCCAAAAAAAATGTTACTCGTATTCAATTTGTTGTCTTCACAATCATAAATTGATGACTTGACTATCAACATGTATAACCTTGGTTTCTGCCATGAAATAAGTGATCTTGGTGAAATAGAAGACTACCACATCAGCATTAATTGTGTGATTAGTGGGTTAGATATGACCTTTTCAAAAATAGAGTCGAAGAAATAAAGTCATTTTTGAAAATATACCACTAACTCGTATTAGTTTTATTAGAGGAATGGAAGTTACTAATACTTTAGGTACTCTCTAAGTATTATGGAAGTTATTGATACGTTAGCTCCTCTTTAAATATTCTTTCCGTCAGGTTATTCGATTATTATCGAACGAAATATGTATGAATTTATGTAAACCAGAGATGCTCCGCCTCCGTTGCTGGTGATCCATTCACTGACATCCGACGCCTCCGTATAACGCTCTAAAACCGCCAGGTCACCCCTACACCCTACCCAATGCGACAGAGTTTATAGGATCATTATGCAGCATTTCGGCTTTGTAATTTCGGAACCAATTCAAAAAAAATAAGTTCTGTTGTTTAGGCCACTTTTAAATTTTTAATATCAATTTCTCAGTTTTTCAATATTTTTTGCTTAAATAATCCGGCGTTATTTATTGGATCAGTATTTATCCAATCCATTTTATTCGGAAGTTCCCTTTTCAAATTCTCTTTATTTTCACTATGTAATTTCTTGTTTGATTAATAATTTTCAGGAATGAAAGATACGCGCATAAGCAAGTTCAATTTTCACTTTCCTCTCCGTGTTTTGACTTGAAATCTGAGTGAAATTGTGGGTGAAGCCAATACTCGAAAGAACCATGCTACACAAATATAATTGTTGACATGTGAGATGATCGAACACTCACCCTTCGGGACATTATTTTATTCACGTGAGGTCCACGCTTCATGTGAGGGTCGATCGCCAATTTGGTTACCAAAATTCGGGCACTTTGGCATTTTCCTACTCGAAAGGCAATAGCAAGACTAACTTATTTGAAATGGTAAAAAATTAGGTTTGATTATCAAATGCCACTTCAATATGGTCCAATCTCGTCTAATTTGGGCTACGTGATGTGACTGAAATGGTGCTCTGTATAATTTGATTGCTGAATCAGAAAACAACATTTTCATGTATTTGTAGATAGTTTTGCTTGACTAGATGTCTTCATGTATTCTGAATGTTAATCGTGGCTCAACCATGTAGGCTTTATCTCTGAGATTAGTAATGGAAAGAACTGGAGAAGAAAGCAAAACCAATCCTCGACACATCGAGAAGCTACCACGACTTGCCTCCTATACTCTCTGTTTCTTACTAATAACTTAGGGTACTGCTATTTTCATCCACGCTTTTTATATATACATCCACTTTTAAAAACAAATTTTTATTATAGTTTAAATCCTATGTAAATTTACTTAAATAGACATAAATAGAATTAATAAAAATACATAACTCTAAATTGATCCACTAATTTTTATTTTCATTAGATTATCCTAAATCTTTTTTTATTCATTTAGAAATTGTGTTTAACTAGAATCCTTTATTATCCATTAAAAGAACATCATCTAAGCTCGTAAGAAGTCATGCTAAACCACCTAGCAGGATGGTGGCCCGTCCCATTAAATCAATCAAGAACTATGTTACTAGTCTATACGCAAATCCTTGACCCATCATTTTCCGGAAAAAAAAATTCTAGCTAATGACATTTTTGTCAGCAATATCTGAAAATACTGCAACAATATAGAGCAAATCAATAATAGGAAGAGGGAACTACACAGAAGTTTTAAATTCATCAGTGGCACACTTCAGTAAGAAATGGAAAGGAAACAATAGCAAAATCAGTACAAAAGCATACTTGAAGGAAAATATATTCAAACTAACAATATTATTTTAACGATTTTCAGCTATATTAAGGGGGGAAAAAAGATATTACGATTGAGTTTTAATTAGCCCTTTCTAACTTCCCCATTCCCTTCACAGGAATCAAAGACCTATACAAAACCTTGAGGTTAATTTTATTCAACTAATGGAAGGAAAATGAAAAAGAAATATAAAAGCTCAGATGAGTTAGCCTTCGATTTCAACTTATAATTTCTGAATAGTAAAATATGTGTCAAATGTACACAGCTTATAATTTTGGAAAATTGCATTGCTACCACAAGATTTTAAACAATTGAACCTGAAAGATGAAAACCTAATGCAATGACATACCACAGATCAATCCCAAAAGTGGGAAAAAGAAGATGAAATTCTTGAGTTGAATACACAGCAGAGCATTAGATTCAAACGAATGGCTGAGGTTAAAGGTGGCATACCTTTGGCTGTGGTGGGAATGATGACGACAATTCGTCCCTGATAAATAATGGTTTGCCTTTGATGAATTGAGTTTTATGAATAAGAATGATAAAATTTCTAATAAACGTTGTTAACATGGTTAGCTGAATAATATATGTTAATTTAATATTCAATGAGTTCAACTTTGTTATTATTTCATTCATTTGGTTTAAAAGAGTTTATGGTTTTAGGGTTTGTGTGAATTCTATAGTGTTAGGGATGTATTTATAATGAGATGAATGTATAAAATTCACACGGATATATAGTATTTAAATTAATGAATTTAATAAGGGCAAGATTGGAATATAACGTGGATACAAATAGAATTTTTTTTTTTTAAATTTGAAATTCTATTAGAAATGAACTTAGAGTGAGATGTACATATAAAAAATGTTGATAAAAATAGCGATTGTTGAAGTGGTTGTTCAAAATCAGCCATTCGTGGAATAAACGAAAAAGGGCTGCCATAGGTTTTAACTTAAACCATGCGACCGCATAAGCATAATGCCCATGCGGTTGCATGGGTGCTTACCGAAACTTGGAGGCCCTTGTGCGGTTGAACCATGCGATCGCATGGCTTTATACCATGCTGTCGCATGGTATAAACTAGGTGATCGTTGGTGGCAGTTTCTGAACGTTGGAAATTCGAATTTGGAGGACTTTCATGCATTATTTGGCACCATTTCGTGTATATAGATGAGATCTATATATAGTGGAGCAATGTTCAAGCCAAAATAAGTAAGAAAACACTTGAAATTCATTCCAATTCAACAATCAAAAAAACAAATTCTTGTTCTTATTTAATATTCATTTTCTTATCGTGTTTTTCAAAGTTTTAGTGGAAAATTTCTTGTGCTTTTTTATTTTCCACAACAAAGCTTGTTATAATCCTTCAAATCATTTGCCAAAATACCTTTGAGCATCTCAAAAATATAGGAGAAGGGGTAAATAACGTTTGATGACAGCGACCCGCATTTAAGTCTTCGAAATTGTTCTTGACAATTTTTCTGATTTTGTTCATCTTGTTGCCATATTTTTTGTGATTTTCCTTTTGTCTATTCTTCATCACTTTCATATTTTCAACAATCTCAAACGTTATTTCCTGTGATGGAGAGCGAAACTACAATAGCAACCATAAAACTCATGAACCAAGATTTGGTGCGGTTGGATCGGTTCGATGGCACTAACTTCACGCGGTGGCAAGACAAGTTAAAATTTCTCCCTACTGCATTGAAGATCTTCTATATTCTGGATCCAAATTTGGCATCGTTACCGGAACCCACTAATGGAGAGACCGAAGCAATCAAGGCTGAAAGGTAGAAACACCAAGAAGATGAATTAATGCTGTGGTCATATACTCAACGCGCTGTCGGATCGTTTGTACGATTTATATACCAACACAACATCGGCAAATGAGATTTGGAATGCTTTAGAAAGTAAATGCAAAGTAGAAGAGGAAAGTGCTAAGAAATTTCTAATTTCGAAATATTTTGACTTTAAATTTCTTGATAATATTCCGTTGCTACCCCAAGTACATGAACTTCAAGTAATTGTCAACAAATTAAAAGCGGTAAAACTTGAAATTTCAGAGACCTTTCATGTGGTGGCTCTTGTTGCGTGTTGTCACACCTGTCCTATCCACATGGGCCAGTGGGCCACTCATCCTGACCCACGTGGCATTCCTGCCGAGGTGGCCCACATTTTCGAGGTGGGTTACATCCGAACTGCTTCTAACCGAGGCTCCATGGCTCGAGGCGTGGAAGCTCTTGGTTGTAGCTGAGGTCCTCGAATGGACGAAGCCCCGGAGTTGATGCGTGAGCCTCAACCACAAGGAAACATCCTCCATGGTCACTTCTCCCAAGAGATCGCCTGCACAGATCTTATTCGAATAATTGATGGAATGTCTGTCATAAGCATAAAGGTCAAGTCTTGTCACTAGTGTGGAGGCCCTGCACAAGCAATAAATGCGCCGTAAGCTAGCAAGTCAAATCTCATGCCTAAGAACAGACGTTTAAACTAAGGAGATGAGGCCACGTGCCACTTCATCCAAGGGCCCCCATTCCATATGTATCACTAAGGACTCAGAGCTACTCGTTGT